CGACCGAAAGTAGGTAATAACTGACGACGATTGATCGATAATTGACGCCGTAAGAAGGTTCCGGGATTTTTTATACTCGCAATGAACAAATAATATACCATGCAGAAACTTCGCGGACCCTTGGCAACAGCGAGCGGAAACGATAGATCTATTGGCTTGATTCTCGGAATCGTTATGATTAAGTAGCAATAAGTTTACGATGCACCGCGAACACAGCGTGATAGCGGCGATAGCGGCTTACGTTCGGTCCTATCTTGATTACATTTGAAATTAACACGCGTTTAAATCATCAATCGCCGCAGAAGTTCCGAGAACGTCTCGAGTTTCGTTATGATAAACGTTGAAAAGAAGATCGATAAAATGTCGCGATGCCTATACTCTGAGTGCGTTCCGTTTCACGCATATGATGCGCATAATGCATCATTTATCTGCTTGTTTAACATTCAATGGACAACAAAAGGATAAATAATGCATTATGCGCATCGTGCGTGAAACGAAATGCACCCTATGATTCTATTGCTATTTTTAAGCTATTGTAATCTTTAACAATATCTTTTTATGCAAAAAATCTAAAAATTATTAACTCATTTATCAATGCTAAAAGGAATCAATAAATCTCTTTTCAACGAAATAATATTTTGTACAAAATTTGAAGTCACCGAAAGTAAGCTGAATAATCAAATGCTAGACCTATCTACACGGAGAACTTTTATAACTCACGACTATATATTTTCATACACAATAACATTAACTTAAAAATACTAGAATATTTTATTGAATTTTTGTACGGTTAAAACTTTATCAAGTTTTACCGTAATAATTAATGAGTATTTCTCTCGACTTTCTCATTTGTGCAATAATAACTGTTAATTACATCGCTACGATATGCTAGCGAAAAGATAAACGAACGAATAGATTCGTTCGAATCTACGAATAGATATGTCGATGAATGACATATCACAACTACCTTTATTATGTATATAGGAAACATTACCTGACAGATCTAACATTATATTATATTTTAATTTATTTTAACAATATTATTATTGTTTAGAAATAAATTTCTTCTACTCGGTTACAGAGTTTTCATTGTTTTCTCACACTTTGCTTTACCTTTTATTTTCATATTATCTTCCTTCACCCAAAGCGACAGTATAAAGTTTTATTTCGAATTAAGTGCAGAAACTAGAAAAGATACAAAAAATAAAAGAAACAAAGTAAAAGAAACAAAATAAAAGATACAAATAAAAAAAATTGTTTTATTTTTATTTTTAAAACAAATCTAAATCTCGAAATAATAGGTTATCAAATTTAATTCGTGTAGCTTTATATTATTTGTGTAGATTTATAATTTTTGTGAAGCATTTTCTTCCATCTACCGATGGTTGGACAGTATATTTCCATTATTATCAGATATCTCCATATAATAATTTGCCAACATCACATATGTCTCTGAATTAGAAATGAAGATAAATAAACTGTTAGAAAATAAATAAAATTAAGTTTTCTTTCTACAAATGTATATTAAGGAATAATTATGAATTTGATTCTGTTTTAATGTAATCGCATTTTATTGAACCTCAATTAATGACAATACCGAAAATGTATAATTACAATAAACATTAAAAAACCAAAATTAAGTTTAAATTTAAAAAATAACTTAAAAAACAACTTATTCGTTAAAAAAAAGAGTACCTAAAAAAAGATTCTGACACTATAATATATACACAGGATAATCTATAGAACGATTGGAAATTTTAAGAAAATATAGTACAGATACAATTAAATAAAACATTTAGGGATAACACAAGTTTGTAAAGATATATTATATTTTCTTATTTTCTTTTGTTCTAGAGCAACCTGTAAACTTAAGAAAATTATAACTAAACTACATTAAATATAATTAATAATAAATTTCATTCGTACATTAAAATTAAAAAATGAATTATTTTTTATCCATATTAATATATAATTATTTGTATATAAATTCTTATACATATAAAAGTTAATAATTATAATAGATTTAGAATATAGATCTCTTAGGTGGTGGCAAACTCACTAGTGACAAATTAGGTGGTGACAAAGATAATTGATCAGTGCTGATGACTTCAAATTTACTTTTCTCAATCAATTCCATTATCTTATTTAAATCTTCTTGCGATAGACTTTTAAATGCTATAGTGTCCCTAATTTTTTTCATGTATAATTTAATAAAAGTTGCCGAATGTGTTTCTAAATATTTTGCATTAGATGACAACGCAAGCTGCATAAGTTCTACGGCATTTTCAATCGTAAGACTGCGTAACAAATAATGTTGACACGTTAATTTTAAAGTTGGTACATCATATTTATCAGCTGCTGTTAATAATTTTTTAAGCATCCCATAATTACTCTGATCAATGGAATCAGTTGTAATATATAATAAAACCTGTTTAAAAGATTCTATCTCATTATCCGTTACTAATTCATTTGTCATATCTTTTTCTTTTTCCTTATGTGTATGGCACATATACTTAAAATAACTACTGTTGGTGTCGCACAACAATTTTTTTGATACAACATACTGTTCTTCACCTATTATAAATTTGATTGATTTCTCATTAAATAACTGGAAATCAAAAATTGAGTTTTCAGAAAGTTTTATCTCTTTAAATACCGTTGGGGGTGGTTCGAATTGTAAATTCATGTGAATAGTGTTACTTATCAGTTGATGAAAATGTTCAATCTTGCAATGTATTATAAACGCCTCTGTAGAAATGTACGAATCATCCGAGACATCAATTAACAATGTCATATCCGATATATGACACGAAATCGATCTTGACGCTAAGACTGTTTCAGGCGGATGCATTATAGTAGTAGTACATAAACCGCTAAATGCTGTATTAGTACGTATTGAAATTCGTATTGCACATAGCAAATCTTGACGTGAAATATTCATTTGAATCTTGTATCGGTTGTTTTCTCCAAATGGTGGAGAATTTAATGTATCTACGATTGCAGCGAGACGCCCAAATTGATCAATTTCCCATGTATAGTCAGACGTAGTCACTTCAAATCGTGTTTGAGAATGGCTCTTGGTATACGAAGGTAAAAATGGTAAAGATACTGTCTGCTCCTTTTTCGGGACAATCTCATTGTCAGTATAATTCGCATGTTTCATTCCTTCAGACCACATCTGGAAATAATTAACTTACTTATAAATAATGAAAATGAGATCAACATCAAAATATCCTGAAAGTCGCTTTTTATAATAAAATAGATTAAATTTCAAACAAATATTCTAACATGTAATAATAACGCTTATACACCATGTATAGATGTATAGATAAGAGTCACTTGAAGTTGAATTTAACTCAAAATACGTAGACATTTTTTGGGACAACTTTAATATATCTTTTTTTAAATAAAACTTAGGTAGAGGAAGCACATGTCATTTTGACATTAATTGACGTCAAAAGACGTCAAAATGACAGACTTTTGACGTGAATTGACGTCAAAATGACATATGCTTCCTATCTGGGAAATAACATTTTATGTTAGACAACCACAAAAAAGAATTGAATAAGTAAATAGCCATTTTACATCAAATTTCAAGAATGATTATACTAAACTGCTTTCTTGCTTAAGTCTTACACGATCTATAATTCCCGTTAATTTAAGAATAAACTTTTATTTATCATTTTACACCTCATGCATTTTGATATACATATACGTATAAGTTCAATTCTTAAAATGCTTTTTATATCTATTACGTATAAACAGGATTCTATCCTTGAATTCTGATAAAAGTAATAGATGCATGTGAAGTTATAGACTCTTTGCATTAATCATTTTTAATTGTATTCAAATTACACATAGTAGAAATGTGATTTGATACGTGTATGAATTTGTGCAGTTTCTTTGCTATGTATAATGCGTGGAATTGTTGCTTATTTAGGAAATGTCATAATTAATTCGTTACACATCAATGTTTTATGTGTTTCCTAACGTTTTAATAAAACACGTAGTCAACGAAGTTGAGAAAAAAAACTGTTAAAAACTTACTCGATTTTCCTTGAGCACTTGCTTATTAAATGCCATATTTGCTTATGCGTATTTGCTTTTCCGCTGAATCTTGATCAGTCACACTTAAGATCTTGCGTTTTTCTAATGATATGCTAATATTCCAACACCGTCCAGATAATAGCATTTATTAGACTAATATGCGTGTATGTAGTACAGACGTGGCAACTGATTTCCTTTATTTCCTTTTGTCAAATCAAGTTTCCAAACTACTGCGAATATAACGTCGAGATAATCCGAGAGATAATGCGAATGAACAAACAAACATGGCCACTGCCTCGTGTAGAACCTCGACTCATCCATAAAATAAGTAAGCCTGTTCGTTTTAACTGAACTTCTTGCACAGGTCATCTCTTCTCCTTTTCTCCTTTTCTCTCCAATGTGAAAAGAAAAGGAGGAAAGATGAATAGTGCAAGAAGTTCAGCTAAAACGAACAGGCCTAGTGGTGGGGGACACGCATCCTAAAGCCTTTGTGTCCACGTGTTTCCACGTTGCTAATAGAAATTGCTCCGAAATCTCAAACGGAGAAAGAATTGACCAATCACATTTCTAGCATCGTGGACACAAGAGGCCTCTGTTCGTGTTATCTAAACTTCTTGCATCGTTCATTTATTCTCTTTTTTTCCAACGTGAAAAGAAAAAGAGGAAAGATGAACCGCAGTGCGAGAAGTTCAGCTAGAACGAACAGGCCTAAGGCTTAAGAAAAAGAGCCACGTATGTACGTGACACACACACGTGACACGTGACACATGTGACACAAATTTTTTACGGCTACTCTCAATCTCAATACAGTAATTTAGTGTTTGTCATAAAATTTTTTTTTATTTATTATGGCTTACAAAAGAACCACCATCCTTTGATCCCTTAAATTTTGTTAAATTTTTAATATGTTCCAGAGTACACTCCATTCATTAACTAATACAAGATATATAGTAACTCTGTCCAATGCGCAATAGTTTATGAAATATTAATGTTCAAAATATGTATTCTTTTTTTATATCAATGATAACTAAATCATGCTTATACAAAGAAGTTGCACTCATAAAATGCGCTCGATTAAATTATGTGTTTGAAATGTTTCTATGATAGATAGCATCCAAAAACGTATATACAATGTGATCATGATATTGATTGTGCTTAAATTGAAAGTTCCGACACTGAAATTTAATTAAGTGTTATGTAATGTATTTTTGTTAATTGTGATGTACTACTTTGCAACGTCATTATAATTACGTTTTTTCTTATTTATAATTATTTAGTAATTATTATAGTACATAAATAAACTTTATTTTGCAGAGTTTTAAAACAATTACGCACACGACAAATTTTAAACATTAATATTTCATAAACTATTACGCATTAGACAGAATTACTGTATCTTATATTAGTGAATGAGGTGTACCGTAACATATTAAAAATTTAGCAAAATTTAAAGGGTCGCAAGGGTTGGTTGTCTCTTTATCCAGTTTCAGTAAGAAATAAAATCTTGTGACACTTTTCAACCAATCAGATTTATGTAAAATGCTTATTTGACTCCTGCATCAATTTGGCTCTGGAAACTGATGTGTAAAAATCAATTAACCCACTGCTTTATAAGGGCTCATAGAACGATCAAAATATGTCCAGATATATTTAAATATACTCGACTGAAACAATGTTCAATAATAAATCTTGTCGTATGACAGATGATAAAAAAATACAGCCTGTTTCTTATCTCTTTTTATTTTTAATAGGGATATCTGTTCGCGTGACGCGTGAGGAAGGAAGATGGATGATGCCGAGTTATGTAGATGTTATGTAGGAACGTATTAACACTGATGCAAATTAAGATATAAGCGTAACGTGTCACTTTACTAAACAGCCTAAATATACAAAAGAGATAAAAAAAATTTACACGAAGTTTAGAATTTTATAGAGGTAGACCGAACGGCGAGTGTCCCGGATCAAATTAATTTACGTTTCGTTCCATCTTGATTTATACGTTTGAAATCAATACGCGATTAAATCATCGATTGCCGAAGAAGACCCGAGAACAGCTATCAAGTTTTGTTATGATAAGCGTTGAGAAGAAAATCGATAAAATGTCACAACGCCTGCTATGAATCTTTCGCAATTTTTAAGCTATCACAATCTCGAATACTTTTATTTTTATTCGAGAAATGTAAACATGATCAACCCATTTATTATTACTAAAAACAGTCAATATTTCTTCCGGTAAAATATTTTGTGTAATACTTGCAGTTGCCGAAAGAAGCTAAATAATCACATGCTAAACGAAGAATTTTTATAATTCACGACAATTTTCGCTAATATTATTTAATTATTTAATTCTTGTTCTTTACTTTTGAATTACCTTCTCCTAAAACTACGATATAGTTTCATATCGAATGAAGCACAGAGACTAGATTAACAAGAGATACAAAATCAATCATAAAAGCTATGTTTTATTTTTACTTTTTATTCAAAGAATAAATTTAATAACTTATTATTTCAAAATGTTTACATATAACGATATGTTTACATTTCGAGATAATGAGTTATTAAATTTAACTCAAATTTGTTGAATTTAATTAAATTTAATTCAAATTACACGATTTATAAATTTTTGTGAAGCATTTTCTTTTATCTCCAAGTGATCGAATTGTATATTTCTATTAAAAGCAACATCTTTGTATGCAATTCGCTCAACATCACATACGTCTCTAAATTAAAAATAAAGATAAATAAACTGGTAAAAAGATAAATAATAAAATATAAGTTTATTTATTTTTTCATATATGCATTAAGGAATAATTATGAATTTAATTGTTTCAAATAAATCACATTTTATTGAACTCGAATTAATGACAATATCAAAAAAGCAAACTAAACATTGAAAAGCAAAAATCAAGCTTAAATTTACAAAAAGAATTAATATTTCGTTGAAAAAGGTAGTTGCTAAAGACTACGACGCTATAATGTGTATGTACGTTAATAGCAATATCGAAAACGCAAATAAACATTGAAAAACAAAAATCAAGCTTAAATTAAAAAAAAAAATTAATATTTTGTTGAAAAAGGTAGTTGCTAAAGACTCCGACGCTATAATGTGTATGTACGCAAAATAATCTACAGAACGAAATTTTTAATAAGACATAGTACTGATAAAAGTAAATGAAATATACAGGTAACATAGGTTTGTAAGAATTCTTATTTCCCTTTGTTTTAAATCAACCTGTAGACTTGAGAAAACTTATAACTAAACTACATTAAGTGTAATTAATAATAGTTTTATTCGTACATTTGAACTTAAATCAAGGATTATTTTTAATTTGTATTAGTACTTATTTGAATATAAATTCTCACATAGTGTTTCTTAAAGAATGCCCAGTAATTTCATCAAAATTTTTCAACAAAAATTGAGTTGAAATATTCTGAATCAGTAAATCAGTGAAAGTACACTCGGTTAAAAAATGGTGCTAATTGAATTGACTTCAGTCAACAATTACTGCTGTATAGATTATTCATTAGAATTATGCATTATAGAAAAAATGGTTCAGATTTCTTCGAATTAAATTTTTGACAAAAAATAGCGCTATGTAATTAATGGACGCTCTTTCA